ATTCGGCTGTCTGAAAATCCATAAATCCAACTGTAATTTATGCCAAAATTTGTTTTGTTATGCTCTATTTCTCTCACTGCCGCTGCGGCAAAATTCTTTTCACAGAAACTCTGACTTGGAGAAATTACTTAGTGAGCAAGTCCCTTTTCGTGCGTTTGTGTTTTCTTTATATGTCGCAGGTAACTAAGTAACTTCCTTGGAGATGGTCTAATGTACATTGTTATTGGAAATACCATATTGTATAGGGATAGGGAGGCAGGTAAGGTTTAAATCTGAACTCTTGTATAGTATCTGAATGATTAAATGGAAATTTAATTTTGGAAATTCCTTCTTAATACGTTACCTTTAGATAAAATTAATATCAAGCCTATTACAACATGGGCCTATTTTGAAGTCATCAAAAAACCCGAATAGTCTGTACAATCACACACGAAAGCGAAATTCAAATTCTAACAAGTGGTTATATGACCAACAAAAAACGAACGAAAAAAACATGTACGTACTTAATTATTATGACATCCCATCAGCACTTGGACATGTTCTTCATTCATTATATTGATAAACCTGCTCAGAACGGTACTATTCTTCCTATTAAAAAAAGGACCGGAGTTTGGAGGTGTGTTTTTGTAAAGGGTAGGTGATGAATGACAGATAAAGTTAAAGGATAACATTCGAGCTATGTCAGTGGAATTAAATGAATCACAACAGATAGGAACAAGGTGCACTCATCAGTTTGTTGTTGAGGTACCTACATAATAATAGTGGTGCCCCATGTCATTAAATTAACATAATGGTAGGCCAGGAACTGAGGACTTACAAATACATATGCCTGCATGATTTTCTTTTTACTAAATGGACTGGTAAATAAAACAATATTATTTTTATGAAATGTAGAAAAACTTCACCTACATCACCCTCTTCCTTAAGACAAAGTTGTGAACGAATAAATAGATTACACAAACTCACACCGAAAGATTGCTGATTGTAAATATTTTAATTTATTTTTGGGATTGAATAAGCCGGTTGATAACATTATCATTAGAATTAAAAAGTTTTACTGCCATTCGGCATTTATAACATGGTGGGTAATTAAAACAATGGAAATGCTAATTAAATGGGAAAACAACATATGGGAAACGTTATAAAATGTGGAATTAACCTGGCCTTAACACCTTTGGTCCAGTTTTACATTACGTAGAAAAAGTTAATTAGGTTTTATAATATGACATTAAAAGACAGAACCTACTTAAAAGAATATTTTATTCTGGCAGTGTATTATTATAATTAATTATAATCGATCATATACTACTAGATATTCAATGTTCACTAAAGAAAAAGACGAAAATCCGAAAATCAAAATATTGCTATACAATATAGTATGATTTGTAAATAATTTGCAAAGGTGTTCACTGTTGTGCAGAATTTTAACAGTTTAATTCATACACGCATCAATTTCATCATTAAAATATGATGTTTTATCAAAGGTATTTATGATATTTACCTATTAGCTGTTAATGCAAATAGACTTTCATTTAACATTTAGTTAGAGAAGGTAACCATGCTATTAAATTAATCAAGATAGTCAATGTAAAAATTGTTTCTCATACTTAATACTCAATAGTTAGAGTCGAAAATTCTTTCTTTAATGTTATTTACTCATTAAAAAATAAATAAACAATAGAATGGCCCAGTATTTGAAAAATGCGTACATTCCAGCTATGAGATACACTTTAAAATTTAATTGCACAATAGATGGCTAACAGTTGTGCTTCATCAGCTGGTACGTTATAATTATTTAAAGTTCAATGTAACTAACGTTAAAATATCAACTTCGATAACTTAATAATCACCTACTAGGAACATGGACGTTTAATAACGTTTCTACTTTATAAAGTACTTATAAAAGTCGTGATAATTGCATTATAAGCAGTGAAACAAATGGTAGAGATCAATTAATCACATAAATCACTGTATTTAAGTAAATTGTATCCTCTAATTGAGGAAAGAACCAATTTAATTAATTATCTACCAGTTTTATGCTACAATGCCGTGTTGATACATAGAAATAATAAGAGAAAGATCAAAACTAAATGTACCCAGTATCAATTACATTTTAAAGTTGATCAATTAAGAGAAAAATTAAGTGAGTCAAGGTTGTCATAACTGCGATTACTAAAAGGTATGATAATTTCGGATCTAAGAAAAAATTTCCTAGGAAAAATGCTCCTTTGACAAAAAATCACCAAAAATTTATTCTAAACGTTATCATAAGATTTAAAAAATTAACACTTCAAGTAATTGTCTTTCTTGTTGATGATAACGTTGAATAGGCAGCATGAATTCTAGTTAATTAACTACTTGTTTTGTTTTATTTTTGCTAATACGTATGTGTAACGATAATATTATGCTGCGGGTTGACTTCCTAAGAAGATTTGTTAATTACCTTGAAGAATATCAATACTGCACAAACAAAAGTTTGTTTCTACTAATATTACAATTTTAAGCAAAAGATGATAACATTGTAGCTAATTGTCTACTCGATCTATTCTTATTTCTATTAAATTGTATTACGAGCATTCAAGGGACAATATTTATGAATAATAAATATAAATTATTAGAAAACTAAATAATAAAAGAAATAAACCATTTCCTTTTGCATAAATTTCTAACAAATATTAGAAATTCTTTAGACCACTATAATTAACCTAATGTTAACACAATGAACTGTGTTGCCTACGGCTGTAGTAGTGTAAACTAGGATTTTTTATGTATTACTCATGGTAATGGTAAGTCACTTCAATACCATGAGAACTAGGTACTCATTAATATAATAAACATTACAAAAGTAGCCCGTTTTTGCCTACAAATTCGTTGAATATTAATACCTTTATGATATCTTCAGTTTTTATTATTTTTTAATGACACTTTAGTTACGAATCTTGTAGATAAAAGATGTTTTCACAGAATTTATCTCTCTTGTGATGATGTACTTTATAATCGTCCGGATGAGGGGATGTTTTACATTACAGGAATAATTCCAGTCGAAATTCACAAACTGCTTTTTTACGGGTAAACAGACAGACAAGCGCCTCTCGACTTTTAAATCAAATTCCTACCTCAGCAGTTGAGAATAAATTAAGAAACACGAGTTAAGAGGAGTAGAGGTAGACCTAGATTAGATTATTGTTCTCAAATAGTTGGGATTTCTAGTTTTAGGGAAATGTGAAGATTAGCTCAGGATAAAAAAGAGCGGAGGTACGAGTCCGAACAGTCTCAGGACTGTCGATTGTATGATGTTGAAGAATAAAAATCTTCAACGAGAAATAGCATTCGTTTAATGTTAATGGTACAGAAAATATTGCAGGAAGGACAAAAAACGAGTTGTGCAGTTAAATTCTTATGTAATTTTCACAAACGCGCATGAACTTGACTTAAAATCGTGTAAGAATCACCTAGTAAAAAATTTCTACTTAAATTTCTACGTAAAATCTACGGTGTCTTTTTTTGTCGTGATTATATGCATGCATATCTTTGTTTAAAATATGCCGGTTCATTGTTTCACTTCTCGCAATACAATGACAGAGCGGGACCCGAGGAAATGGAAAGTTATTCGGTCTCTTTTGCTTCATCCAACTGAAAAATTATGTAACCCACGCGGATTTATTTGCAAATCAATCGGCGTCTTCCACAGCCACTTTCAACAAATGCCCTAGGTGATTGATATTCATTCTTCGCTTAACCGAACATGACAATAACTAAATCTATTGTAAATCTCTAAACAAACGCATGGGGTCAAAAGAATACAGATTACATTAATGTTTTCGGAGAAATGATAGTCCTTTTGAACTTCATGACGATGAAAAATTCCTTGAAGCTTGCAAAGCACTCTTACGACATTTTTCTCGTAGTTTAGTGGTCAGAACATTGGCGCGTAAAGCCAAAGGTCCCGGGTTCGAATCCCGGCGTGGGTATGACAACAGCAACAATTTCTCCCTGATTAATTTGAGGTAATTTGTAGTGGGTAAATAAAAAACCGAAAAAATGATTTCGAATTAATATTGCATATTAATCCACTATTAAGTAACTAACAATGTCATACGATTTCAGAGATTTCTCATGTTCTAAAAGTTTGCTTATGTGCTTTGTATTTGAAATGGTTCGATAACTCGACAAATTTTTATTTCTACATAAACATTATTCAGGATGTTCAACAAAAGGCTCATTGTAAAAAGTTTGAGCTTATTTTAACCCTCCCTGGAATACAGAATCAATTGTTTTTACATCGAATAACGGTTACAGAAGTTTTAGTATCGAGTTATCAGTAATACGTAGTAATAAAGTATATGCAAACTAGGACGAATTTTATTGAAGCTTCCAAAGGCCATGTCAAAGACACACCATGTGTCTTTCCAATAAATATCAGAGAGACGACTAAACAAGTTTTATAATGTGGTTTCCAACATCCACAGATTACTAATTGCGATCGTGGGTAGTTCTCCAATTTGATATTCAAAATGCGGAAAACCGATGGATATGGCGAGGAATTTTAATGACACCGCCACAATAATATCGTGCTCATCAATCAGATTTATCCTTGAAATTATTTCTGCTTTTACCGAGCAGGTAACATGTTAAGTAAACATACGCATAAGTTCGCCAAATTGTTAACGAATTGTTAGTTAATAGAACGAATTTAGGCATCAGATTGCAAGGTCCATAAACCAGTTTCGTATTTTCAAGAATTCAATGACTTCTGGCTCTCTGGCATGTTAGAAACAAGTTTTCGAGTGGGCAATGGTAGCGTTAATGGTTATTACCGGCAAGCCTCTTCAAATATTTCGAAAAATATGGGTACGCTTTGGCATTACGTTATAGTTTTTTTTCTCCACCTGTTGCACTTTTTTCAAAACCTGTTACGTCTTCAACTCATGCTTCCACGTGGACTCAAGTTTGTCTAGAGGGAAGCCGGTAAAATGAATCGTTACATCAACAACCCCTACCTGTTATCAGTTCGAAGGTGTTGCGACTAGTACCCCCGATTGTTTTAGATCTCTTCTTCGGCAATCGATGTAAGAATATTATTATTCTATGTAGGTACCTATATCCACACCACTCTGCACAACCTGTTTTTAAATCACTTTACGCACACAGATTGTCGGGGCACTGTTTCTTCACGTTGCAATAAAAATCGATCGGATCGATCGAATGAACAGGCGACGAAAATATCACTGGAAGTTTCAGAAATGTCCACACTGCGCACTCTACTCTATACGACTGATAACGCACGAACTACGAAATATTGCAACGGTCGGAAAAATGACGATCGTGGACTGCGTGTGCAATAAGCACGAGCAGTTGTTTTTAATTACTTGTGTCTTTCGATGGACGGGGCGCAACAACAATTATCAGTTGACTGGCGTTAATCGAGAATGGAGACCGACTAAAGAAATGAGCTGAGTAACTTCGTCGACCGGTTGTTTCGGATCTTTCCTCGCCGATGGTGGAAGGAAGGCTCGCTGTAGGAAGCATTCAACAGCTTGCTTGCTTGCTTGACCGTCCTGGCAATGTTGCCAACAATATTACACTGAACTTTACAACGTTACGCGGCACTGCTGCTAAATTTCATTAGCCAGAAGAAAAGCTCCGGCGAAGAGCGAAGGTAATTTCAGTGGAAGCACCAGATCTATGACCAAAAGAAGTCTGCCAATCAGTAAGAAATAAAATAAACGATCGTGACCTTTATCGCGATCAAATGCCATACACCGTAAGCAAAAAACTGCTAACACATTTTGCTTTTTAAAACTTTGAAGTATTCAATGAGTGTAAGTAAGTAATAAACGCAAGAAGAAGTCCAACAGTTGCTTTTTTTAAAAGTTCTAAGGAAGGAACAATCACAAGAATATTATCCTCCAGTTTAAGAAGAAACTGTTTCTGGCAACATTGTTCGCGAACCTGCAGAAGGTAAGCATAGTGACTTCTCCTTCTCTTTGGTGTCTCAGCCCCACTATGCTCTATTCCTGAGCTAAGCACACAATCACCTCCGTTTTACCTGCTGCATGCCATTCTTCGCTTACCTGGTCTCGCAAACCAACTGTACCTCAGACCAAAAAGACCAAAGCTCACTCAACTAAAGTGCGGTTATCCTTTCAATAAACCAGATTACATAAACCAACGAGTAAGGGTTAAGAAATGACCATCAGTTCTCTCATAAAGTAAATTAAACCAAAGAAAAAGTATGATCATCCAATCGACTTAAAAAAATATGTAGATATGTATATCGAATAGGAGCGATGGAGAGGTGTAATTTGCGATGGGCATAGATCGAGAGTGTTTACCACAAGTTAGACTATAGCCTGAAACATGTACCCATCTATAAATTACAGCATTTACGTAATTTGCTATTTATTTTCTAATTTTAAACCTGCTAATGGAAACATAAGAACAGCCTTGCAGTTTTACATAATTTGCATCAAACTGGCAAAGAAGAACCGTTCAACTATTCATCATATAAAGCATTACAACAAATGATTATAGACAATCACTCCCGGCCAACTATTAAAGACGGTATTATTAGGAATAATTAAAAGTAGTTTGATCCGGCTTGACACGATATTTTACTCAGTAATTGATGAGATGTTTTCGATGCTGCAGCTTTCAATGTAGAGGAAAAGTCGTTAGAGTACTTGTCTCTAAACTATGGGTTTACTGAAGGGAACTGAAAAAAACAACTCCATCAGCTGTGTATACTAAACTACTATATTTACCAAATGGTGATTACGAATGGAGACATGTTCTAATCAATAAGCTACGTAGTAATGTACAGTTTATATTGTGAGAAACAAGCTCAGCGTCTTACAAAGAAGGATTTTCTCAAAATTCAACTTCTGAGAAGTTAAAAAAGAGACCCAAATGTGACCCGAAATCCATCAGTTAGATAGATAGGTACTTCATGTATCATTCATCGATACATCTAAGTTTACTTTGTTCCCAATTGGTCATTGCAATTCCAACATTGAAGAAATAGAAGAAGAAGAAGAAGCCACGTCGTGTGCTCGTTTATTTATAAATAATTGCCGATGACTCGGACGCAATTAGTCATTGTACACTCCGATTTAATTTAGATCGCGGCAAAAGAAATATTTGGATAGGCGAACAATGAAAGTCGTTAACGCAATTTATATCGTATGTACATACATACTAACGTATATGAAGACTTATTTTCATACGAAGGGGAAAACAAATTTCCTATTTAAATTCAAATGCAAATACATAACTCGTTAGCTCACCGGTCGCGAAATTAAGAAACGGATGTAACCACGTAGCGCCGTCGCTTCCATTGGCATGTGCTTGGGGCGCTGCGTTTCGTATCTGTAATGAAAATATGCCAAAATGGGTATTCTAATGCAGATGATACTATCGCCACCATTATCGAGATAAAATATGAGGGGATTATATACAACAGATTGAAAATATCTAGTGGTAAATACGAGGGCAATCCAAATTTAGACCCGACTGTAATTTATAGGGGGAGTCTCATGTAGCATGTGACAGATTATGAATGCCGATATAAGGACTTCTCCGTAAATTTCTTCTGTGGACCTACACAAAAGGAATTAATGCCCGACTAAAATTTTAGGAGCTAAAGTCTCATCAATATCAGCATCACTACCTCTGGTAGAGCCCACAAAAGTTAACCTATAATGCGCACATGGGGAATATTATCATCATGAATCCCGCATGTGGCGCTCCCGAAGAAATATGATTGCTCCAAGTTTCAAAGAATTTTGGGAGAATCAATTCGATTGTAGCAGCTGATAATATTTGAAGAAGGCCCACTAACAGATAACCACAAATTTGAGAAGAGTTCCAATATTTGATCGAACCCCCATAAAGCAAATGGTGGTATTGCTTACTTCTTTTTGGATTATCTATAAGTACATTTGCTAATTTTGACTCAATTTGACTCCTTACACTTTTACTTCAGATTTTTTTTATGGGGCTCCTAGAATCTACAATAAAATCCTCCTGGTAGCACGCTTCTCCTTTGCTTCTCGAAGCCCATACGCTATATGAGGCATGCCACCTGTAAATGGTAATCGAATGATGTTGAAGTGAAGATATGCCTTATGGACAGATATTGTTAAGAAAACTTAAATGACGCATAACTACAAAGAAGTGGACAATTTCATCATCTGTATTTTGGGGTTCGATTAGGGAGGAATCAAATGTAGGAACAATTCTTAAACAAACTTGCTGCTAGTGAGCCATCATCATTATCATCATACAGCCGTCAGTCCTAAGAATGGTTGGACACACACCTCATCTCCACTGTTTCCTATCCTGAGCTAATTTTCGCATTTCTCTTAAATTATTTGCGAATAGTAATCTAATCTAGGTCTACTTCTTCTGTTTCTGTCTTTAATATGTCTCTGACTAGACCTTCATCCCTAAGAAAGTGTCGTACCAACCTATCTCGCCTATTTTTTATTGACTTCCATAGAGTCCTCTGTTCACCTATTCTTTCTAATACCTCTTCATTTCTAACCTTCTTTATCCACGGTATCCTCATCATTTCGAACGCAAATTACATATACCTACCTACGATTTTTGGATCACTCTCTGCCACTTAAATTAATCTCTGGTTTATTAGGTATAGGTATATTTTGCGGCCAAGGATATAAATGGACTGGAGAATGACCGTCACAAGAGGGCAGCGATGGTAAAATGTGATTCCTTGTCAGATGTATTATTTATTAGTGCTGCATGCATTTGTTCTACGACATATCGACATTAAATTTCTTGCCGAAGAATGTGTCAGGCGAAGTACAATTTTGAGAAAATATTGGGGTTGAACTCTCTCAAAACCAAAAAAGATGTCATCATAGGTAGCATGATCCTTGTCGTAGTGGTATAGGCATAATTTTTTAATGCCAATTCTTGAGATTATTATGCGATATCATGATTCCAAACACTGAATCGATTGATTCCCTGTTCTCGTTCTGTATCATTACTTTCGATCGCTTTTGTACTATCCTATGCTTTTTATAGCCCGTTTACCGGTTTTATTTTGGCAAAGTTTCTCGAGGTGACCTCTTGGGCCAAGTACTTTTTTTTTCTCTGTTGTTTCCGAACCTGTAGACAAACGGTTGTTCGTTGAGCTAATGTTTTGGACAGCTGTTTCCTGTCTCATACACGAACCAATCGAACGATTCATTATTCCTTATAATAAGTGGTCGCCTGGTCTAGTCATGAACCATTTCGTTATCCAGTTGTATATTAGTTTGTCTTAAAGAAACCTGTTTGAATATTTCTGTACCAAAAACTGTATGCTTCTAATTTCTAATTTACTTTATTGTAAAATACTCTCTTCTAATAATCAGGATCAGCATTGATCCTTTTCTAAAGCATTTTTCTTGAAATGGTTTTTCTAGTTAAGTGACCAAGACTTTGCAAATATTAAATTTAAAAGTTTAAACGTTAGCGAAAGAAACTGAGTATATTATGTAAATTGCTTTTGGTCAAATCGCAACTTAAATAGCTTACACTTATGTTTTGAATAAAACTCCCATCGAACTTGATGTAATCTCAACCATCAGAAATGTCAACGACTGCGACTCTTACCAATGGTCGTGAATGCAATATCAACAATTACTCATTTACAAAAAAGAATGTACAGTTGATATTCGTGCATACACAAAATAGTTTTTTTTTTATAAAAAGGTGTGAGAAGTTTTATTAATTGGACATCTTCGTTCTTCTTGGAAGAAAATGTAAATAATCGAACGAGGAGAAGTTGTGTCCCATATGGTTGACGAAGATTTTTAAAGAAATGTATGAAAACTACAGTTATAACCCTTAAATGGAGGCCAAAGAGAACAATATAAAAGGGTCAAAGATGATGCAAGAAAAGGGTCAACACTTTCTCAAGATAAAATAATACGATACAATGAAATCAATCTTAACTATTGATTAAAAATGTATAGATAACAGACAATATGAGATTGTTTCGGAAAAAGCTATTGTTATTTGTGAGATCCTCATGTAGGTACTAACCATCTTTATTTACCGATGTCATTAAAAATTGATAAGATACAATAGAGTATTGTTGCTTTATCACGAGAGAGGGTGTTCGTTGTGGAAGCTGACAAACGAAATTAACCTGATTAAGAACATTAGAAATGAACAATTCACATTTAAAATGAGTACTAAAACCTAAACAGATTAATGAAAACCATTACGGCTGAAATTAATATGATTACATTACCCATGAGTAATTTATTAAAACTGTTCATTTACAATGAGAAAGGCGATTTCATCTGGGCCCTCCACAGGATTAAACCGGCATGACTCCCACTTTTGGTACCAGTTGTATCTATTTCTTGTAAAATAGAGCTAGTGTCCAGGTATATGTACGTATCAACGGGCATTGCTGTACAAAGGATAACATTCTGCAGCATAGGCCACGGAACAACAGCGACAGAAAGTAAGCGC